AGTTGTTGTTGTTGATTTTGTCGCATTCAATTTGAAAAAAATGGGCTGAAAATACTCTCATTCAACAAGCGCTCGATTTATTTGATAGCGAACGGTTGTTGGAAGCATATCACTTACTCATGGATAATGAAATTGACGTTACAAATGTTGAGTCTCCTAGTAGTAATAAATCAATACTACCTTCGGAAATAACTCAAAAATTAAAACAAATTATTCATGATGGAAAATTGGCAGAGCAAGTCATGAGAGAATTTAATTCGGATGATGGTTGGAAATTGTGTGTTGAAAAAGACAAGATGCAAAGTTTTTACAAGGACAATGGAAGAGGAATGCATGCCGTCAAAGTTCAAGGACATATTTCAGCTCCGATTTTTCAAGTGCTGTCCATATTTTATGAAGGTTCGTTTTTAATGTAAGAAACCCGTCTAATTTTCTGGTAATAATTGTTATGATCTTGGTTGTGAAATTTATAATCATTATCATTATTTCTATACTTGTTGAATCTTGAAATTATCATATAATAATTCTCTGAATAACATGAAAAACAAAATTTTATGTGAAAATAGTGGACCTTTACAAATCATGGGTACCACAGATGAGAGAATCCTTAATAATTCATAAATTGGCCAAGTACAGATTTCTTTCATATTTTTCGTTCGATTTACCGTGGCCATTTAGCTCCAGAGACTTAATTTCGTATGCTTTTGCGGTTGACAAGCTTGAAACAGATGGATCAATTATGGTAGCCGTTAAAGGTGTGACATCAAAATCGTTGCCACAACACAAAGATATAATTTCCAAGTTTGAAAAGCCAAATAATGTATGTGCAGAGTGCGAATATTCTGGTTTTCTTGTAAAATATATTTCTCCAGGTATGTGTTACTACTTTGTTGGCCACGAGGGATACAATACTGATTCAACTAGAGGAGACTTATGTACAAATTGTGGGAAGTATTGATCCAAAATTGTCCTACGTACCTTATTGGTTCATTAACATGGTGACAGATCATGCATCATATCTGAGCATGTTGGTAAGTGTTTGTAAATTGTTTTAGGCCTAACGTCTTTTCAGAAATTGAGAAACGTTTCCGCAAAAGTTCCTGATTCAGAATATCAAAAACGAATCGACACTAATGACACAATATACGGAGACATTAAGAGAAGATTAGAATCGCATGTCGAATAAAGCAACCTCTACGATCATTACGGTTCCATACGTGCTTGAATTTTTGAAGTTATCCATGTGAAAAGCATTAGTAGTGTAACGGTATCATACCAGCCTTCCAAGCTGGTGACCCGGGTTCGACTCCCGGCTAATGCAAAATTTTTTTTTTTTTAAATCGCCGCCATGGAAGAACAACGAGCCTTGTATCGAGAAGAACGTGATGATGAAGAGAAGAATTTGATAATGATCACGAAAGAGGAATTATTGTCTGGTCAGAATGTACTTTCCATGCCAAAGAAAGTCTCTTTTAAACACAAGATTGAAAAAAAGAAACGAAATCCTTCGCATCATGAATCATTCATCATTCAAGAGGAAGAGCAACAAGATTTCATTCAGGCTCCAACACAAATGGATAAAAAGTGGAATCATGTATATGAAAATAATTTTGAAAAATCCATGACCATGATTAGAAAATTGCCACTGCAATATGTAGAGTCAGACAAGATGTCCATTGAAAAATTGAATAACATCTTGAATGAACATTCAAATAATATCAAAACGAACGCAAAATCTGAAGAGCCCACCTTATCAATCATGAAGGATAGTACTCATCTCATCGCTTGTTCCATGATGCCTTATATATTTTGTGCAAACGGTCCCAAAGATGGAAAAGAATATTCAACATTTCTTGTGTATGATACCACACTCAAGAAACGGTACAATTTGACAGAAATCTATTATGGGTTGCAGGAGCATTTTCGTAACAGGTGTTTCAACTTTATACCGTTCGTGATTAAGGACACAATTCTGGTCGCTTTAGGTGAAGCATTATTTTGTTTTGATTTTGACAATGCTTTTATATGGTATCGCCCACAACAATTATTGGTTTATCCAAATTAAACAGCACGAATGGTAATATTACGAACGCTCCTCACACTGTGACTTTGCATTTCTTGTTTTGCTTTTTGACTTGCCACTAAGCGAGTTTTTTCACTTGCTGGCTTGGATTCTTCCTACGCTTGATAATGCTGCTTGATAATAGCACATCCTCAACAAAACCTTGCGCGCTTTACAGTTGACCAAGCTGTATATCTTGATGCAAGATTTGATTGGAATTGATGCATCTCTTTAGATTCAAATCCAAGAGATGAAAGTAATCTCTTCCGGGGAGATATTTCTCTAAATCTTTCAAACTCTACTCCCTCTCGTTCGTTCGACTCGATTCAGAAAAGAAATCGTTCGTAAATCATTCCTAGGAACGAGAATGACCATCAAAATCCAACCTCTCGTATCAACTAAAATTGCTGAAGATGTATCAGATGAGAGCAACACCTTGGTATCGAGCCACCTTGATTCTCACAACAATTCCACCAAATATTCGTGTTGTTTCTCCATCAAGTATGTCCTCATAATCATGATCGTGGGTCTCATTATCCTTAGTGTCTTGATCTTATCTGCCATTTGGGTCAGTTGTTTCAGCGCCACTGTCTCTGAATTGAGTCATTCCGTTCGGGATAAGGAATTTTCAAGAATTGTTTCCTATGCCGATGAAAGCCTGACACGAGTTGCGTTCTTTCTAGAAACCTTTAAGGGACAACTTTTGAAAGATTATCAAGCCATGGATCATGTCCTGGAAAATCATTTGTATTTGGCATGGAAGAGTTTAATGAAACATGAAGCCTCACTCTCCTATGCGTTGTTTGTCGCCGAATATGAAGGAGGTGCATTGGGAATGTCCATCTTTGGAAATCTTACATGGTTTCTCAATATAACCTATGCTCAAAATCAACAGTTTTATATTTGCCATGATGTTCCCAATCATGAGTATTGCAATCGAAATTCAACTCCCGATATGATTCTTCCTGCATTCACGGACAAAGTGGCCACTGATACTGTCACTCGTAACCCAGGAAAGACCATTTTCGCGCCTTCTTTTACAGATCCCACTCAACCCAATATTGTGTTTTTAACTTTACTCACGAGTTACAAATTGGATGTACCAAAGAGTGATCGTACTGTGAGCCACTTTATTGGATACTGCATGACTGCCCGATTCTTATCTCTGTTCTTGGTAGAAATGACAAAGAGCATTACAGGATCTCATACGTTCATCATTGAGGTGGAAACAGATTTCATTGTTGCCAGTAAGTATTTTCGTTTTAAATGTTCTGATGAATCTATGATGACTCGTAAATCAATGCTACCCCAGGCGATCAAATCGATGATCATTCTGGCTCATCAAGCACAAGAAAAAAGATTGTAGACATGAGTCCTTCCATGAAAGCGATCGGAATGAAAGTCTATTCCCAATTTAATAATAATCTGCGAAATTTGCAATGTAATAATCGTCTTGAGATGACACTGGCGGATCAATTCATTCTCATCCATCGATTGTGTAACGAGAATGGAATTGATTGGATGCTGGTATTGAGCGTTCCTCAATGGAATTACATCAGTAATATGGTTTTGGCGATCATTGCTGCAGTGATCAGTGCTTGTATCATTTCCTTGGTGAGTGCTCTCATGGCAGTTGTTGTCTCTCTCCGTATAGTGAAACCATTCCATCAATTGATTCAATCTTTTGAAATGGTTTCAAATATGCAATTAGAAGATTTGAATTTGAGAAAGAGTCAATTGACAGAGGTGACTCAGTTGCAATTACATTTCACTCAAATGGTCAAGAGAATTAAATTATACAGAGCCTTCATTCCTTCTCATTTGTTGTCTCAGTTGGAGAGCAATGAGCATGGAGAGGAAGACAATACACTTGATACAAAGAAGGATAAGAAAAAGGGTCAACAGTACAAGGTGAAGAGTGATCATGATAGCAACAACTTTTCTTTTGTGAAGAACTCTCATGCCCAGGCCTCTTCTGTTTCTCAAAGTCAAGAATTATCACGAAAGAGCTCTTCATCCATGGCAAGTTCTTCAAGAAGACAATCTTCACAAAAAACGCCAATCGATCGATTTTCACTCTATTCTGAAAAGAGAATGGTGAGTGGAGTCATGCTTCATTTGGATGGATTGAACGAATGGTGGTCATGCATGAATGGAAGTGAAATTGTGAACTTGTTGAGTGATGTTTTTGAAGTCATGAATCAACAAGCACGATCATTGGGTGCTCAAATGGGTTCTTTCGATTCTGATTCTCAACTCATCTTCTTCAATGCAGCGAATGATGTGAAGAAACATCAAGAAAAGGCACTTGCATTTTGTGATTCACTTCGATCCAAACTTTCCCAAATCAAGAATCACAAATGGTCTTCAACTCATTCGAAATCACATCAACATTCATTGAATTCGAGTTTGACAAAATTGAATTTCAGAATGGCAGTCACATGTCAAGAATGTATTTGTGGAAATTTGGGAACTCGTGATTTCAAATCATTTCAAGTCATTGGAAGTATTCAATCCAATTTAGATAGAATGATTCAAATAGCGAACAAGTTGAACATTCCAATCATAATTTCACAACAAATTGAACACCACTGCAGTGAAAAGTATCAAATGAGATTCGTTCAATTCCAAGACTTGTTGATTGACAATTATTATGCCAGTTGTTGTCCTTTTGATCAAAATGGAATTAACAAGAGTGGTGAGAATGCTCAACAGCCATCAATTTCACAACAACAACAAACTCCTCAAAACTCTCACAACACTTCCTCTTATTTATTTGAGTCATGTAAATTATTTGAAGTTGGAGATAATAACAATTCTGAAATGGATGAATGGATGTATGAATTGGAATCCAAAGAAAAGAAGAATCAACGTTGGTATTATTATAATTTGGCCATCAAGAATTATTTTGTTGAAAATCAAGTGGAACAAGCTCTAGAAATGATGAATTTACACATGGCTCTTGAAACTTCCAAGTGTGATCTTGTCGCTCAAAACATGCTTTCCCTGATGCAAATCAATAATTCAAGCGTACATTATCAAACACAGGAGTAGATGAAATCACGAGAATATTTATTTACACGATAATATCAGTAATTGATCTTGGCTTAACCATTCACAACTCTGCGTAACATCTTCTCTCAACATGTTGACTCAATATTCACTCAGGAACTTGTGAATCACCGGTTGATCTCTCTTCAGTATTTTACAACCTTCACAATACATATCGTGCTCTATTTTCCTTTCGTAGCAGCAACAGTTTGGCGTGGAACAGTGAGTGGATTCCCTAGTTATCAACAGTTGCTCAAATTCCTTGTCACAACATTCTTTGATGGATTTCTTAAACTCAACAACGTCACCATCAAAGTCCATGTGTTTCTTCAAGTAATTTTGACTCCAACTCAACATTTCAAGCTGCTTTTGAGCTTTCACTTTTCCCATTTTTGACATGAGAACCATATTTAAGGAAGCCAATTTTCTCAGGGGTATGTATGAACTAATTCTCAAGCAACTATAATAACAGTCAAAGGCTTTCTCATCACGTAATTCTTGCGATTCTTTGGACAAAGTTTCTCCATTAAAAAACATGTGACCCTTAAAAATACATGCCATTGGTAATCCGTAATCTGCATTGCGGGATCCTATTAACGAAGATAGAAAAAAATATTGAAAAGCGCGATCGAAATTTTTCTCACATCCGTAACCATTTCTATTCAACACTCCAAGTAAATATTGTGACTCAATACATCCAGCTTCGGCACCTTTTTCAAGGATCTCGAAAGTTTTGTTGAGATCTTTGATCGTAAAGTAGTAAATCTGTGCAATGGAATAGTACGATGGAATGTCTCCAAGTTCAGCTGCTTTTTGAAAATACTCAATAGCCTTCTCCAAATTCTTCTCCTGGCCAAGAGCGCCGTCGCGGTAAATTTGACCAAGCCCATTCAACGCCAGCACTTCCTTCTGTTCTGCAGCCTTCTTGTAATAGTAAAGGGCCAAAATAAGGTCCTGTGTTACACCATCCTCACCATTCTCATAAATGTATCCCAAATTGTAGGTTAAATTGGGCATAAGGACTAGATGAGTGAGCTTGGAAGACCAGTATGCACTTGTAACGATTTCCTTTGCACCCTTGGTCCGGATAGGATTACCATCGAGATGGAGAATTTTTAAACTTTTAAGTGGTGCAGATGAAGAGTCGTGAAAACAATTTCCACATTGTGCGATATATTGAGCACCCTCAAGACCTATTTCACAATGATTCAAGTGCAAGCATGTCAAGTTTTGAAGATTCGTATTTTCAAAAAGAGATTTCAATCCTTTCATTCCAATATTAATAGAACTCAGATCCAAGAATTTTAAACTTGACAGTGAAGGAGAGTCAGTATTGAGAAACTCAACATGATTCATTCCAGTATTTCCTCTCAAATTCAACTCAGTTAACTTAATATTACTTTGATTCAAGGCCTGTATCAAAAGTTGAACACTCTCAGAATGAATGTCAGTGTTGTTACTCAAATCAAGTCTTTCTAAATTCGGGATGCATTGAAATGCTGAAACAGACACCAGACGTTGCAATGCATCATCTCCAAGAGCATTGTTACTGAGATTTAAACTTTTTAAACTTGCAAATAAATTACTAGAAGAGGTTAAGAGCGGTACAATTATCTTGTCGATTCCTTCCATTCCCATTCGATTACCACTCACTTTAAAATCTGAAACGATTTTGAATTTCACTTGATCGATCACTTTCACGAATTCATAAAGTTTTGGATTGAATTGGCTTGAAAACGTATATTGTGGTGTTTGGTTTGGTTTGAACAGGGAAACAGGAAGCCTTTTGGGAGGAAACTCTAGACGGAGAGGAACATGATCATGACAAAGATTCATCCATTCTTTAGAAACGAGAGAGACAGAGTGAACAATTTCAAACACACTCAAGAATTGAAATATTTGACCAAGTTCATCTGAGGAGAGTTGTGACAGCAGTGGTGGCATTTTCTTTTTGACCTTTTCAGTGAGGCACGAAATGAGCCTGGTTAAATAGTATTGGCCAACAAACACAAGGTTACAGAACTCCTTCCTTTCCAGAACAGTGTTCCTTGGTGACATTTTTTTGTCCGCATCTTCCACATTTGGTTCTTACAGATTTTAACAACAATGAATTCTATTATCGCACAGTGTGAATGTGTATCAACGAAATGTCAGGAGAATTGATTATTGCAATTTCAAATCTGTTGGTTCAAGGTTGTGAAAATTGGTAGAGTTTGAAATTTGTTATTTATTATTTACAGCAGCATGAGGAAAATACATAAGGGCAAGTCATTCTGATTTCCACATTACTTTAAAATTTTGTTGATTCGTCAGGTGATGTCAAGTTGAAATCCATCATCAACAAAATTAGAGAGTAATGTGGAAGAATGAATTGTGCCTTGGTGTTTGATATAAATACTTTTGAGTTCTGAGGATACTTTCATATGGACATCTTGCTTTGGGAGTTCATGTGTCAGTTGTATCCATCCATTTTGTTCTTCCTAGTGTAATCACTTGAAACAAGTTGATTAATTCTTGGAAGAAGAAGAAGAAGAACAAGTGTTGTGCCCAATTGGGGGTGAATGATTCAATGGTTTGCTCGCAGCATTGGACAACTTGTTCAAACAAATATAATGAGTGGAAATCTTCATCGGTTCAGAAGATTCTTGTTGAACGACTCGAATTAAACTTCTCACATGGTCTGTCTTGCCTTTTTGACAATACAACATGTGATAATCCGAACATCCATCAAATTGGATGTAAATGGAATGTTTCGCACGTTTCACTCCAAAGTGATTTTCCAATAATCCTTTGAGAGTGGTCACTGAATGTCGAGAACATTCAATCTCTTGTGCTGAGATGGAACTCAACAATTCCAATTCATTGGGATTGAAGAGACGACCTCCAGATAATTTTGGACCTTTGAAGTAATGAATGGTGAGATTGAATGAATTAGAAGAATGAGTTCCCTCACTGTTAGCATTTCCGTCATGATCAAAGATTACATAACTGGTTTGAGAAATCTTTGGAGGATATTGACAAGTATCAACCAATGAGGAAGGCTGATCGGTGGAATCATTCTCGAGAGAAAGGATCTCCTCACGAAGAGTATTCAATCTCTTGGAGAGTTCTGATTGAATATTGAGAGAGCTCTTCTTTTTGGTTCCTTGAAGAGAATGACCCTTCTTACTCTTCTTTGGAGTCGTGGTCCTCTTCTTGGTATTCTTGATGTGAACCTCTTCATGGGCTATTGCTTGAGGAGCATTCATAGTATCTTGTGCACAAAAAGAAACACAAGGAGAAGTGGGAATACGACCAATCATTGCTCCAATCTCTTGAAAAGAAGGAACAACAATAGGTGGTTCTGCTTCCTTCTCTGAAACTCGAGTGGTTTCGGTTGGAGAGAGAGGTCCAACCAAACCTTGGAGCCATGCATTAAACTCATCTTCAGAATCAACATTGGAAGCATCAACAGGTGATCCATGACTAATTGTTTGAGAGGATGAACAAGGAGTTTGATCATCTTCAAACAACATGGAAAAGTCATTGGAGTCTTGATCAGCTTGATTCATCATGGTAGAAACACCATGATTGGATCCTTCATCAGAGAATGAATGAATCAAACTCTGAAGAGGAGAGGGTTCAAACAATTGAACCGTTGGATTTGGTTCGAATTCAGAGAACAAGTCAGAAGAGAAGTGAACAGAGTCGTGAGAGAACATGGTGATGAATGTTGAGGTGCTTGCGAGAGGTTGAGAGAGAGTAGTGAGGTTAGAACTAACGTTAAAGAAGAGTTAAGCGTGATTGTCTTGTTTTTTTGTTATTGAAAATCTCTTGCTAGTTTTTTTTAAACCATTCCAACTTCGATTCAGAGACAAGTGACAAGAACAATTCTATTGGATGCACGTTTTTACAACAACACACTTTTTATCGCCTGAGACCTCCCAGCGTGTTTATATTGGCGAAAATGCTTTTTCTGCAACCATAGACTTCCCAACAACATGAAAAATATTTTTGGATACATCAACTATTCAGTCTGAAATTATCAACTTCTTTGATTTCAGAGAGAATTTTTCGCAACCTGTCAATCTCTAAAGTAATCTCAGAGATGATATTCTTTACGTTTGGAACTTCTTGCAAGTGATTTTCGTTCTTTGTATCTCGTTTTTGAGTGACTCTATTTCAGTTTGTTCATTCAAAGAATTCAGTTCAGCTTTGTTGTTTTGAAATTTTCATCTTTTTCAATAAATCATCTTGGGATTGCTGAGGTTCTCTTTTCAAAGATACACTCTTTTAGTGATGCTTTTTATCTCATTAATAAATTGAGACTGATCCTGGAAATATCGATGAATGTTTGAGGAATTTCCAAAATCATAAAAAATGAGTGAACACCAAATTGAAGCATCCTCCTCCATCGTCTCGAGTGCAAGTTCGGAAAGTCACTCCGGCACTTCATGTATGGAACTATCCTTGCTAGATAAATCACCTAATGAGATGACTCGTGAAGAACTTGTAAAAATTGCAACACTCTATCAACAGGAAAAACGTATGGCGAACAAAGAGTCTCGAAATTTGTCCTCCGATGATGGAAATAAAAAGAATGGAAAAGAAAAAACAAAGAAGAAGAAGAAGGAAAAGAATGAAATGGATTGGTCCAAACAACACATGGAATATATTGCATTAAAGGTTGCCTATCTCGGGTTTAATTATCAAGGTCTTGCACGACAAGCACACAATACCAATACGATTGAATATCATTTATTTGAAGCATTGAAAAAGGTAAAACTGATAGAAAGCGAAGAAAAGAGCGAATATACAAGATGTGGACGTACGGATAAGGGAGTCTCTGCATTGTGTCAAGTAATTTCATTTTATGGGAGAGCCAGTAAGGACCCGAGCAAGAGTTTTGATTACGTGAAAATGTTAAATAATTCATTACCAGAGGATATTAGAGTGTTGGCATGGTGCCCTGTGACCAAAGACTTTGATGCTCGATTTGGGTGCATTCAACGAACATACAAGTA